ACACCCCCCCCTGGACCGATTTTCAAAGCTCGATTACGCCACGACGAGGAGTATGCACTTAACGAAACGATACACTGTCGGAAAGCTCTCTACAAGGCGGCTTCAATGACGCCGTTTTCGGCGCTGTGACGCTCTCTCTGCTGTCGAGATACCGAGCTTTGAAAATCGGTTCAGGGGGTGTGTTATCTTGTGCCGTGTACGGTTGTCTTGAGTCCTCGTCGGTAGTCAGAATAGACCGCTTGCGTGAAATGAACTACATATACTGCTGTTGCTCTGTCCAACAGCCTATTCGATCTCGAAGGGCGATGATTGTGTGTGTACTGCTGTATGTGGCTTTTATTGGCATCGACCGCGCTATCCGACTGACCAATGAAAAGACGTCAGTCTCAGTGCCGCTAAAAACGGGATTTTTTTCTAAAAGGCATGATCTGGGACCCCGTGAACGGGGGGAGTCATGTGTGTGTGTGTGTGTGTATGTTTTATTATTAGTAGTATTATAGTATTGAACGCTCTAACCGGCTGACCAATGAAAATACGTCAGTCTTAGTGCGGTTGAAAACACAAACCACTTCTAAATGTCATTAACTGGGACCCCGTGCGTGTCTCTTTTTAATTATTGAGTCCACTGCTGAGTGGGCTAGGACAAGTACCGGTATCCCTCGACGTTTCCTCAACATCTGTTTCTCAAAGAAGGTTGGACGATCAGCTGGTGGCACTCGTATCTCGGACCGACGGGTGGTAGTAGCCTTGAGCCAATCCCACTCCATCTGCCTCCCACCCACCGCGTCTGTTCGAAAACGTTTGGTATTTACCCTCTATTTATTTATTTATTTATTCGCAGCTCTCGCCCGGTCTCCTCCCGGCTCGTTTCTCATTCGGTTCGCTTTTTCCTCCTCTTTTTTCCTCCTCTTTTTCCTCGCGTTTTGTTTTTCTTGTGGTTTTGTTTTCTTTGTTTATGTCTCTTATGTCTTTGTTTGTCCTTTTTGTTTGTTCGTCTCGTTTCTCATTTGGTCCACTCTTTTTTCTTTTTTGCTCTGCTGTTGTTTTTTATTTTTTATGTCTTCTTTTCTCTACCAGACGTACGGTTACCGGTACCTCTTCACCCTCAACAATCTAGAGGCCGTGAGTTTATTAAAGAAGCGGGAAAAGGTTTGGGGGGTAGGAGCCGTAGACACGGGGTCCCCGTGGCCCTCTCTCCGGAGATCCCTGAGGCTGGTCAACGATGCGGTGGACGTCCGCTCTCCCGACGACATCGCCTACGTCTCGTCCGGGTGAGTCTGTTTTACTCTCTTCTTCCGCCGCGCCACGACAATGGGCCACATTCCGTTTTGCTGCTCTTGTTTCTGTTGTTGTCGACCTGTGTTGATATGGTGTTTCTGTTGTTGGTGCTGGTGATGATTTCGTGTTGCTGCTGATGCGCAGATGACGAAAACATGCACACAAATTGCGAACCCGATTCTCGCCCCCCCCTGCCCCCCCCCCCCGCCCCCCCCCCCCCCCCCCTTTCCCCTCCCCCCCCCCCCCCCCTCCCCCCCCCCCCTTTTTTTCCCCTTTTTTTTTTCCCCCCTCCCCCCCCCCCTTTCCC